ATTTTTTTATATAAATAAATTATTTGACTTGTAGCCTATTCGATGAGACAAGCGCACTGCTCTTCACCAGAGAAAGAAAACCGAAACTGAAAACACTTTTCATCAGACAGAAATATCACCACGATTCCACAGAAATGTTCACTTTTAAAGTGCAGCTCACAGCCGCTTTAGAGGGAATGAAGCATCCTGGAGACAGTAGTGTCTCACAGTGAGGGGGACAGAAACGGCAGCACACAGAGCGACAGGTGTCATGATATTGTCTCACTACTTTGCGGCGACTGTCAACCGTTTGTGTTATTACATTGACTAGACACTGACCGACAACATTTATATTTAAATGTAGGCTATTGATTACGATTTTACTAGAGACAATTCAGAAGTTGCGGACAAGCCCTGAAGCTGTGAGCATTGCGCGCTCTCTCTCTCTCTCCTCTCATGCTTACTCGCAAGCAGGTTGAGTAATGGCGGGGGGGTCACGTTACGTGAACTTCAAACAAAATGTAGCAATATTATTGCGAGTAGCCTCTCTCTTTCCCTCAGCGGTTATCCGCTGCATATTAACATGGAAAATATTTTTGTTTCTGTTGTTGAGTTACATTTGGGGCTACAGTAAAAACATCCGTGGCTTTAGCCCCGTAAAAATGACCTGGCGACGCCATTGGGTTGTACCCTGTCTCATGCCCAATGTCAGATGGGATTACCTCCAGCCCCCAGGACCCTCTAAGATAAGCAGGTGTAGTTTATGGGTGGATGGATAGATCGATGTAGAATGGATACATCTCAGTAGGAATTGATTATTGAAAATGACGTTTGTTTGTTTATCTGGTATTTCCCCACACAGACACTCTGAACAGAGTTTGTGGAAGTCTTTCATCTGGTGAAATTCATTGACAATGTAACTCAGTAGAGGAAATTAGCTTGTGTTAAAGTTATGTTGATTACATTGATCACATTTGAATCCCAGTGATAAGGCACTGCTTCATCAAAATTAAAGTAGAGAGAGAATAGTTAAACACAGCAGGTTGATGAACAGGCTTTGATACGTCTTCTTCACTTTGCTGTAAAGAGTTTTAATAGTTTTCTAAGGCCATGCTCATGCGCTTCTTCTCTGATTACCTTCTTTGTTGGGTATGTGTCCCTAGACCTGCAGATTACCTTGGTCACATGGGGACGTTATTGTCTTCTACTTTCCTCTGGAATTAATGAATTCAGTTCTTTAGCTATCTGACAACATTTGAAAAACAGTGTGTTATGTAAGATTCAGAGATTCACTACAATGCACTGGATTCAATTGTAAGACGCTTTTATCTGTGTGTCTTACATTTTTTTCCATCTCTTACACAAAATGGGATCAGGTTGAGGCTCAACAACACTTTGGCATCTGGACAAGAGGAGCTAGGACTCAAACCACTAACCTTACAGTTAAATGGCAAACCAGCTCTGCTGCCTGAGCTACAGCGGCTGAGACCCAGCAACAGATTAGCTTTTTTCACCGAAACTAACTTCTGCAGGACGCTGACCATGTGTCGCTTGGAGGTGATGTAGATTTTAACACGCTCAGCGCTAAATTGACAAAGATGCTGCTTTTGTTTTCTAAATGTGTTTGAACCTAAATTCTTTTTATTCGATTTCCTGCATGAAAGAAAGCTAAACCTGTTTACATTCTCTGCAGTGTCTCTGTTTGTATCTCAGGAGACTTGCAATGAGACAGATTCCCTCATGCTGTGTGTGGCAATTGGATGTAATAGTCCATTTACCACTGTAATGCTGTAATACTGTGTGCAAATACCACAGTGTGCCTGTGTGTGTGTGTGTGTGTGTGTGTGTGTGTGTGTGTGTGTGTGTTTGTGATGATATCCTAGCCAGTGTTTTCCTTGAAATCCGACCAGAGCAGCTTCTGTAAAATAGGACTATCGTCATCATGACCTCTTCTGTTTTCCCAGCTGTATCTGAGCTAAGATGTGAGGCTTTTACTGCTCTTTTTTTCCCCGGCTCCGTGTTTGTTATACATCTGGTGGTCAGTGATGAGAGGAGCACATCCCCGAGTCACAGCGTGGCCTTTCCTGCTCCATTTGAAACTGCTTTGATGAGCAGCGGCTTTAAGAACACACAGTGTCAATGAAAACACTTTGATATCTTGCTCCAGCTGTCAGTTTTTGTCTGGTATTTTTCAAGCGCTGGCCAATGGAATATAAGTAGTTGAATAGTGTCCCTCTTTAGAAGAAGGTCCTTCTTGCAAAGAAATGCAGATGCAGCACACACATAATAAGCCTTTCCCAGTCAAGTAGGCAATTAGATTGTGCATAAGACATAAAGGAACTATGTTTGATATTAAAATTAATACAATTAACCAGTGTGTATTTACCACCACAATTATGTCTGTCTTGTCACTAGACAAGGTAATTAGGAAGCGTTATTATGGCAGCAGAATATGGAGTGAGATGTAAAGATTGTGCCTCCCTTAATAGGACTGTACTGTGCAGTTGGAAGAATCAATCCTCTCTTTGTTTTCCCAAACTGCGGTGTCAGCAGATTCTTAATTTTTCATGAAAACTTTGGCTTGTGTGCTACTCATATATAGTAGTAACACACATACACACACACCTAAGCTCCCTGTATCCCTCTTGTCATTTGGCATTCCACACATAGTGCTGTTGAATGAATGTATAACCTTCCTCCATCAAACTGCTTAACTCTTTGTGCATACAGTATAACTTGTCTGACTGCCAAGATTCAGGAAAGCACGCTCCTTAACTACAAGTGCAGTATAATCAATATAGCCCGCTTTTGCTCTCAGCCACCCTGCAACATGTTTATGTATTTCACTGTGATGTTCAGGTTGGAATTACTGCAAGATGAGCTCTTGCAGTAACTTCTCCGCCATGTAGAAGAGTACAGATCGTGACTTGCATGTAACAGGTTAGGAAAGGGTTTTATTTAAGCAACTAGTAGTAGTAGTAGTAGCTAAAGAGAATGTACAAAATTACATCTCATTACAGGAAGTGTCTTCTTGGATAACTTTGAAAACCGATATGAATAATAAAAATATTTATTTGGTGTCATTGAGGAAAGATGTTAAGCTGTGTGGAGTATTCTACGTGTTTAAAAATTAGATGGTCTTCTATATTTACTGTCTATATTTACTTTCTTTTAACTGCCAGGGCTGTTTTCTAGCTGCTGCTGTTTTAACTAGCTTACCGAGACGACTCTTCATTCAGAGAGTCAACTTTATGTGCCTCCTCATCAGATACTCCAGCACCTGACCTGCTCCCATGCCAGTAAGTGAGCTTTGTAAATTTTGCAGTTCACAGCCTTTTTGGCTGAGTAAAGAGTCAATCACTGATCTTGTGTTGTTTTACTGTTCACATTACTTCACTCTGTTAAAGTGACAGTGTCGCTACGGCCCAGATGACGTCATGAACAAATCGATTTATTAAATTTGTTGGCAACAAATTTAATAAATGATTTTTGTTGATTACGGCGATTATTTGTTGCACCCCTAGCCTGTACTCCTTTAGGTGGCAGAGAATGTCTGCCACTGATGTTTCTGATAATTATGGTAATAAAACGTGCCATCACAGGTTCTTTGTATGGCTTTTAAAAACTATGTAAATGTGAAAGCTACCCGCACTGTATCAACAAAATTCAAGGTTAAATTGAAGCAGCTGTTTACAAAACTTTTTCAGATTAGAGAACATAATATCCGATTAGAGCAATGCAAAGTTAAAAAGGATAACTGTATATACAGCATGTAATGTATGCAGTCCTTTCAGTACGTGGAATAGCACAACTGAATTTGTCACATGGTTAACAAGGCAATTCAGATGAAAATGAAAACACAAGTAAGTCCAGGCTTGCCTCCAGGCATGATGCTACACGCATGTCTTATAGGGTGTCAGAGAGCTCTTTCACACACCAGTGCTGAGGTAAGACTAGAGAAGAGTCAAGTAAAATGTTTTTTCTTTGATTAGCATGGGCATAGTGACAGAAAATCTCTCAGATTGGCACACAATAACACAAAGACAGTGATGTGTTTTTCGCAGTCTGCAAAAGTAATTTAATTGCCCCCAAGAAATAAAGCTCTTATCTTAGAGGAGGTTTTGTGTTTGCATTCTGTTCTCGTGCCCCTTTTTCCACTGCAGTGAACTTGCATTGTCTGCCAACCCTGGTCTCTTTCTCACACACACACACACACACACACACACACACACACACACACACACACAAACATATACACGCACGCGCAGCTGCAGTCAGAGGGCAGAGTAGTCTTTTCATGCATGGCTCACTGTGCTTATGTAAGAGAGTACTTAAACCTGGTTACATCACATAACAGGCAGCACTGTGTCAGTGGGTCACTGTGCCACACAACCACTGAACTACATACACTATGTTGGGCCCTTCACTGGGCATGTGTGAATGGAGCATCCCCGTGTGCACTGAGGCACACATTTTGGGGCGGGTCATTCAAACCTGTGTGCACGCATGTATTTACACGTGCGTATGTTGGTTATGCCAGCTGATTGTGAAATGATGTACAATAGAAAATAGAAAAGAAATATGACTTATGTTGCCCAGTTTAAGAAATCCGAAGACAGCTTTTATTATGGAAAATGTGCCATTGCTGCGCCTAAAGAGTGCCAGTAGGGGGGCCTCTCTGTTTTCAAATTCTATTCCTTGTGTATCCTCTTCTCACCCTTTACCCCAGCTCCTGCTCTTCATACTCCCTCCCCAGCTCCGCCTTTCTGCCAGCAGAACAGCCCATCTCTGTCTCTCTCTTTTTCTCTCAGTTTCTGTTTAGTGCACACACACACACACACACACACACACACACACTCTCCCCAGGGCTTGAACGAAGGCAGGACCAACCACTCCCACTGTTCTATAGTTCCATGAAAAACACAAGAAGAGAGACACAGACAGAGAGGGGAAGAGAGCTAGGGAGGGAGGAGCATAGCTGCGCTGAAGCCGAGCCCCCTCTGTGGCTCAGAACGCAGAGTGGAGCAGACGGCAACAGCCACACAAACACACTCTTCTCTCAGTTACATGCACAGTCACACACATACCACACACCAGCACAGCCGCCGCCGCCGCCGCCACCACCACCACCACCACCACACACAGTGACGGCTGCCAAGCACTGTGGGAAGCAAGTCGTCAGGGAGAGAGCTTGAGAAGAAAGAGGGATTGCAGGGGGAAGAAAAGAAAAAAGAGTTCGGGGAGGCACCTTGTGGATCAGAAGGGATTTTCCTCTGTGTGAGTGCGCGTCTGGATAAGGCTATCTGCTTCTTCCTGAACGAGCGGAGTTTTTACCGAAGCTTTTTCTTTTTGCTCATCCTCCACGCCGGTCTCCAGCGAAATCTACCTATCTATCCCCGGAGCTTAACAAAAGAGGGAGGGAGAGAGAGAGAGTGAGAAAAAAAGCAATCACAGCTTCAGCTCCAGACCACCCTCTCTCCTCCTCCTCCTCCTCTTCCTCCTCCTCCTCCCCGTCCTCTTCCTCCTCCTCTCCTCCTCTTCTCTCTCCAGGTCCACATCCATTTGTGAGTTCATCGCTGATTTAACTGTCTTGTGAGGAAAGAGCAAAGGACAGCGTGTTATCCAGGATACAGACGAGTCCCCCTGGTGGGATCAGGGTCTCGTCTGGTGTGAGAGAGAGAGAGAGAGAGAGAGAGAGAGAGGTGGGACGAACGAGACAGGGAAACGGATACACAGGAAGAGAGAAAGAGACGGAGAGAGACAAGAGTAACAGACGGCTGAAAGCAAATTGAGGGGCATGTTCAGGGCAGCAGTGAAGAAGAAGAGTGAGTCTGATTTTTAGAGCGGCGAGTGCAAGGAACCGGCAACTGGATCCCATTTATTCCTCCCTCCTCCTCCTCCTCATCCTGTTCTTCTTCCCTCTTCTTTACCAGCTCTCCGTCCTGCTCTTCAATCTCCCCTTTTGTTTCCCATATTACCTCCTACTGTTCCTTCATTTCTTCCTTTCCTCACCCTCCAACTCCTTCTCTCCCAGCCCCTTCTTTACTGCCACTCCGGATCCTCGCCATCTCTCTTTCCAGATCCCCGGGAAAGGATGGTTTAGTGAGGCTCTCTGTGAGCTCCCAGACAAGTAGACAGACAAAAATCCCAAGTACTATCTGTCCTTCTATCTGTCCCTTCCTCTGTGCGTTTATCACACATACACCTCAGTGAGAGGGGAGCGTTCTCTCTCTCTGCATCCTCCACCCCTGGAAACGGTCGTCTGAAGGATCCAGGCCAGCCCCTTGGTGTGATCATACCCCACCTGCGAGCTTCTATCTCCAGCCTCCAGGACCTTAAATTGGATTCCAGCTACATGGGAAAACGTTTGGAGCAGCAACCAATGTACCCCCACTACACCTACTACTACCCCCACTATCTCCAGACCAAGGTAGGTTACCCCTCAAACTCAAAGGAAAGAAACGTGTTTGTGTGCTGCAAATACACATCAGTTTTTTCATTGTGGAACTCTCTCAAAACCCATCTGACAACCCTTCTTTCAATTAACACTCTATCTTTCCTCTCTGCTGCCTATTTAACTCTCCTTCCCAATCAGCATGGTCACGAGTGTTTGATTTACATCTCAACTGTGTCATGTTCCTCAATCTATGGACCAGGACCCAAAAAGGGGTCTCATCGTAGCATATCTAAAGAGTGAGATCGTGTTTTACCAAGCCGGGAAAAGAGCAAAATGTACGCACTTCAGGTCCTACGGTGAAACACCTTGAAACAGCACCGAGATAGATGCTGAAATTGCCTCGCAAGACAGCTTGCTAAATGGCACCTTGTCCCCTCTCCCCCATCTGTTTCTGAGCAGGGAGGTATTGGTGTCACCCAGCTGGGTTTTTCCTTTTCCATTCACACTGAGCACTTGACCTTCATCCTCCCCTCTCTGACCCCACCAGCTCGAAGTTCAAGTTCAGGGCATGAGGCCCACCCTTCCCTCAGCCCTTGTTTTCTCTCCTACTTTGTCCGTCTCCCGCGCCCTTCATTGGGCTTCCCCAGCTCATATTCACCCATGATAGCATGTTGTAGACATGATTGATGGAACCTGATACGCATCTCAGATCACCAAGAATACAGAAAGTTTTTTTGTCTTTGTTTTTTCAGTTTTATTCGAATTCTCTTACTCACACATTGCATGCACACACAGATCCACACACCTACACAAGATATTTCTTATATCTGAGTCCTCTACCACGAAGAAGAGGAAAATGGATCACTGAGGCCTGATCGATTGCTCCCGCATCATATCACCCAGCCCGCCATTCCCTTTGTCTGCTGTGATTCATTTGTTTTTTTCCCTTTTGTGTGATAGTAAGTGTGAGGAGTTGGCAGGTTTGGTGCAGCATTTAGTAAATGTGTACATGTCAGTAGGCAGGAGAGATGGAGAGAGAAGCAAAGATAAAAGCGTAGGCGTGGGATGCTATGAGAATAGAGTGATCACGCTGTTGGGTGGACACTGAGTGGGAAGAGCAGGTAAGACAATTATTGCTCCACTGTTAAAAATATGTTGAACCTTGAACCAAACTGCATGATGCATTTGCAGGCCAGTAGTAACACATCTAGTATGAATGTGGAGCCCTATATGCTATTATTTGAACTGAGAACACATTGGTAGTCTTAATCAAGTTTCTTTCCCCACATTCCAGTCCAAATGATTTAATACTGAGCATCTGGCCAATTTCAAATTTTTTTCTTTGGACAACTGCATAGTTCACACGACATACCTGAGATAACCCAAATAGCTCTGCATCCCCACGCTAAAAAAAATAAAATGCCAAACTGTAAAAGTCTAAATATCTCTTGTAATTTCAAAACTATTGACCCAAAAGACGGAACCCCCTAGAAACAACATCTAAAGCACAATCACAATTGCTACAATATCAAATTTGTTACATTCGGAAACACAAATATTACTCCTAATTTAAAAAGGGTTCTGAACACATTTTCACTGCTTTTTATAACACATGCGTTTCTGCCGCAAGTTGTGGATAATATTAGTTTACGACAATTACTGTACGGATGAAAGCTGATACTGATCAACTAAAAGAATGACGAAAAGGGTTGCAGTTTTGACATAATTACACTCTTAATGAAAGTTTTACTTTTTAATGAAAAGATCTATTCTATTTAGTTAAATTCACACTGCCTCAGCTAAGTCAAGTACATACTGACTGAAATGTAGGCTTTTATTGATTAGCTTAAACATTACTGGCTTATCTGTTGATCTCGGAGCTGCACACATTCACATCTGGGAGCTGTCTGATGTTTTTAAGAATGTGCTCAAGATGAACAAACAGAAGCTGGAAACTGTTTGTTAATGCACATCTGTGATTTGGTTGTAATAAACAACATCTTCAATGACGAACGCCTTTTTGCTTGCTAATCTGGAGGAGGAAATGCATGTCTGCTACTGGATAATAAAAACTGTTCTTTCTAAATTTCCTTTTAATGAAAGAAACTTCAAGGATATATATGGTAATTGTCTCTTGGCAAAATTGTTTTTCTTTTTGTAATAGATTTTTTCACTGAACAGAATTATTTCATTAAATTAAAATGAAAAAAAACAGAATTAATCTTCCTGATAAATTCAATTTTTAAACAAGTCATGCTTAGAAAAATATTGACAGCATGCTGGAAAAAAACATAAAATAATTGTGATTGTGTCATTTTTTTAAATGAACTTAAAAGGAAACCTTATTTGATATTCTTGCAATAACAAAGAAGCAGCATTTCTAATCAACCCTGTCAGTGAATCCAGGAGCATCCAATAAAATTCACTTTGTGATTTGGTTTATTGCACAAGATTTTTTGCTGCATGCGATGTATGTTAGATTGACTTCATTTGATGTGTGTCTGTCACACCATTTTATGTGTGCAGATGTCACCGTGTCACACTGCTGTCTCTTATTCTTTGATTTATCTCTATCAGTTCAAGGTCATGTAATTTCTCTGAAGTATCTGCAACAGGTATCTGGCCCAGACCACACTCCATCCACCCCCCCCCCCCCCCCCCCCCCCACCCCCACACCACACTACCCCCTCCAACAGCCCTACCTCTCTCCCTTTGCTATCAAGGTCAAATCAAATTGGATCCTACCTTTCCCAGTGTCCCCTTTTGGCTGTGCCTGCCTGTGTGTGTGTGTATGTGTTTGTGTTCGCGTATACATCCATATATGAATAAAACCTGCGTCTGTATGTCAGCTTTGGATCCGTGAAGGTACATGAGCTGGTTCATGTGTGACTGTGAAGTGAATATATTTGCTCACGTTTATGTATGTGTAAGTCTGTAAGTGAGTGTGCGTCTGCGTGTGTGTGGCCTCTGAGTGGTGACTCCCCTGGCTGACCCCTTCTCAGAGCAGCTTGCTGTCATTAAAGCTCTCCGGAGTCCCAGAAGAATAGTTGTTGTGTGTGTGTGTGTGTGTGTGTGTCAGAGGCCCCATACATGTATATGGACCTTGACAACAACCGAGTGTTTGATCTGCGTGTGTTGCTCTCTGATTTCAAATATGAGGACTGTGTGTGTGTACCCGCTTGGGTGTGTGAAATGTTTTTGGGTGTGAATGTAGGCATGCAGGTAGTTTCCAGGCTCTTTTCCTTGTGTACAATAGGCAAGAGCAGACAAAGACTTACTAGTTATATTTAAATGGTATCTTTTTAGCTCTTTCTCACACTTTTACATCTCTGTCTCTCTCTCTCTCTCTCTCTCTATTTGCTCACTGATTTGATTGTAGATGTAAATGGCCTCTTATTAATCTTGATTGAGAGTGGAGGCTCTCCTCCTGTGGAAATCAATCATGTGCTTGTACGTGTGTGTGTGTGTGTTTGCTGCCTTCGCTGCCTTACAATAGCAATCTTAAAACAGACATGCTCACTTACAAGCGCACACATGCACCACCTTCACACAAAGGCAGTTATGAAATGACTAGCTTAAACTAACAATGCTTAGCCAGATGTGTGTAAATGTGCTGCTATTAAGCTGAGAACTGCTCTTGCTCTGCCTCCATAATGGGCTATAGGTACAATTAGTGTACATTAGCAGGGGGGCAGAGAGAGACAGCATGCCCTCTTATGTGAGCCTAGTGGCCCTTAATCATGGCAGTAAGAGGGTTTTGAGGAGATCAGGGGGAGGGGTTTACCCTGAAGCGCAGCTGCGTTGTTGCGTGTTGGCATATTGTTGATGCCCGTTGTTGTTTCTCAGAGGGCAAGCATTTTCTTACATTTTGCTGGAATCCTTAAATGGAGAAAATGAAAGTGCAAAACAGCTTGTGATTGTTGCTGTGACTTTCTTAGAGTTTCCCTGTGGTTGGGGTGGAATGAGTCGGCGCATCAGATTTCACAGCAATAACAACAAAATCTGACATGTTGCCTTTTGTGATTTTTTTTTCAAGACATACATGGTTTTGACAAGGCGAATTCCTCTTGTTATACCCCAGTTACAGACATTTATTTTTATTATATTTTTTCCCCACCATAAAGCTTCTGATCTGCTGGACATTTCCTTAGACACTCATATGATACCTTCTAGTCACTCTCATTTCCCCTTATACCTTCATTCACTCCTCATTGCAAAGATGATTTGCTTGACTTTGCACCTTTGTCTCTCTCTATCTATAAATTCCCATATATAAACTTTAATCTATGCATGTGTGGTGGTACCACTGAATGCAGTAGAGCTATTCAAGTAAAAAAGAAAAAAAACAACTTTTTAGCCTCTGATGATGACTAACTGAGGATGTGAATCTTTGATGATAATCGTTAAGAGCAAGATAAGACAGAAGCTGAAAGTGTGGGGGGGGGGGAGTCACATTATCAACCAGCCGATCATTAGTTTGCTGCAGATCAGTGTGCTAATATGCTCAGTGGCACATGAGGAGCTTTAATTAGGATAATGAGAAACAGCATTCAGCTGATATCAAAGTAATGACACATGCGGACACGCCCGGACATCTAAATACAATATTCCATCCCTTCAAAAATGAGCTTTTCACAATAATTAATGAATTACTCTGTATTATTCGCTAGATAAATGTGGTCAGTGGTTGGCTTAGCTGTGATATGTAAGCATCATAAAGGCAGGAGGGAAAGAGGGACACACACAGCATGGTGATATGCATGTGTAAACACAAAGAGGACACCAAAAAAAAAACCTGATTAACCCCTACACTGAGCTATCCTCCCTCTTCTATCATTTCCTTCCTTCCTTGTTTCCTTCTAAGCTTCTGTTCCTCCTCTTGTCAAACATAAACGGCGACCATAAATTATGCATCATATATCACACACACATACAGAAACTGAAAAGTGTGTGTGTGTGTTTAGTGTGCAAAGTAAACAGAGGATATAAGGTTTATAGCACAGCATGCATTCTGCTCATGTCCTGTTTCTCCT